TGGGAAATCAACTCAGTGAAATCTTTAAGTAGCTCTCAGTTTTCACTTTTAAAGGGACAAATTCACAAAATCAACACTTTAATGGACACTTTTTAAACCTCATTGTAGCCAGGAACATAGCCCACAACTATCGCCACGCATACACCTATGTACCTTATATATTTCCAGTATATATGTGACTTGACGATTCTAAACTAAGGCAAATTGAAGGTCTTGCTTAGAAGTCTGAGCAAAATCTATATCTTAAGAAAATTCTGGATTCAAGATACATAATCAATTAGTATTAAGCACAATTGTTCATGCAGAATTAGGAAAAGGTGGCCTAGCTAAGATGTAATAGTGGAGGGGAAAAGACATAAAACTGATTGTTTAAGATCATTTTAAAATCTTGCTAAACCCTTTTATTTTCAACAGAAGAGCAGTTAATACAATAACTTCACCCATATGCTCACTTATGATGGACTTTTACCAATAATCACTTTTTTAAAAGGTAGCTCATCTTGTGTTTTTGAAAGCACAGTATTAATTAAAAACAAACAAAATGTTCCCCTGTGTTTTTTCCTATTAAGCTAAGGCTGGAGAACAAAGGATTCTTTCCTACCTTTCCTGTGCCATCAAATACTGTACAACAGCCAGTGAAGCACTCTCTTCGGCTGAGAGAGGGCCTTTGGGCTTTGAGCCAACTTTCCTGCTCCCTGTTTATGTGGGAAGACAATTTTCTAAGGCTGTCTTGCATTTCTGCCTATCTTTCCAGCAGTAACACTCAAAGATTTTATTCCTGTCTTTTCAAAGATGCTTATCTAGAGAACAATCTTGGAAGACAGAGGTAGTTCTTCATACTAAACAAATGGTGGCTTTCTTTATAGTTCAATATAATACCGACATTTTTCACTTCTGGGACACATAACTGATTTACTTCTAGCTCATTATTTTAAAAGAAAAAAATCCTAGAATCAAAGTGCCTCAGTTATGCTGAAAACCTACTGTGCAGACATAGATATCGCCTTACCCTTACTATATCACTCTGTATCAGTTTGAATTTAAGAAAGTGATAATAATCTGACTCCTACTGCAGCTCTGAGTAATAAGTGGCCCTTTGTCTCTTCCCGTATCAAGGTCTCTGACATGTGGCATACTCTCCACAGTTCTGGACACCTTGCTTCCACAGTTTTCCTTGTCTGCCTGCCTGTGGGTTCTCTTCTCAACTCAGTTCTTTCGGATGATGACCAATTTGATGGATATACAGTGCTTTCATTCCGTTTCAGACTCCTTAGTTGATCTATCTCATTCTACGGTCCCTACTATTGTAGGGGATAAAAAACAGCATCAGATTAGATAGTAAGTGATCATATGCATGTGATGCAATGGAGAGTCCCATGGCTTGGATCAGGCACATTTTAGTCCTCAAAGAAACATCCTTGTTCTTCAATATTCTAAAAAGTTCTTGTGTACCAAATATATTTAATGTAATAAGTATTTTGATCTCCTGACTACTGTTCACATGAGCATTAATTGTGGATATAAATTAGACAAAAATCCTTGACCACTTCAACCATTTCTCCCTTTTATCATGATGTTGCCTATTACTACAGTTGTGAAGATTTTAGCTTTCTGTATATTCAGTGTAATCCATATTGAAGGCTAATTCCTTGATCTTCGTCAGCAAGTGCTTCTGTCCTCCTCACTTTCAGCCAGCAATAGCATGGTATATGCATACCGCAAGTCATTAATAAGACTTACTCTAATCCTGAAGCCGCATTGTTCTTCACGTAATTCAACTTCTCGGATGATTTGCTCTGCATACAATCTGAACAAGTATGATGAGAGAATACAACTCTGATGCTCACTTTTCCTGAGTTTAGACGGTGCAGTATTCCTTTGATGCGTTTGTACAACTGCCTCACGTGACCCATGTACAAATCTCAAATGAGCACAACGAAGTGTTCTGGAATGTCCATTCTTCTCAAGCTTATCCATAGTTTATTATAGTACATCCAGTCTAATACTCTTTCAGAATCAATGAAATATAAGGGAACAATTTTCTGGTATTCTCTGCATTGAGCCAAAATCCATCTGACATCAGCAGTGATATCCCTTGTTCCATGTCCTCTTCTGATTGTGGTCTGAACTTTTGGTAATTCTCTGTCAATGTACAGCAGTAGCTCTTGTTGAATGACCATAAACAAAATTTTACTTGTATGAGATCACAATGTTTTTTTTTTCTATAGTTTGAGCGTTCTTTTGGAATGAGCACAAATATAGACCACCTTGCTTTGGAATAGGTACAAATATGGATCTCTTCCAGTCAGTTGGCCAAATAGCTGTTTTGCCACTACTGGTCTCTCTTGCCTCCACTGTCAGCTTGTTGTACTGTGGTGGCTTATGTGTTGCTGTGATGCTGGAAGCTGTGTCACTGGTATTTCAAATGCCGGCAGTGTCACCCAAAGTTTTCAGCAGACTTCCCTACTAAGAACAGACAAGGGAGAAGGGCTCCGACCCCACTTCAGAGGAAGAAGCTACTGAAAACCTGTGTATAGTTTCGAAGCACTGTCAAACACTGAAGCCTAAACAAAGGAAGCACATGTCTAAGAGGCCATCGAAATACCAGGGCTTGGGTCAGGTGCACCTTAGTTCTCAAAGTGATTTCCTTACCCTGACATTTTAAAGTCTTCTTGTGCAACAGCTTTGTCCAGTGCAGTCCATTGTTTGACTTCTGGACCACTGCATCCATGAGCACTGATTGTGGGTCCAAGCCAAATGGAACCCTTGACAGCTGAATCTTTTCTCCATTTATTGTGATATTGTCTACTGTTCCAGTTGTGAAGATCTTGATTTTCTTTACGTGAAGTTTGAATCTATACTGAAGTCTGCAGACTTTGATCTTCATCAGCAAGAGCTTCAAATCTTCCTCCCTTTCATTGAGCAAAGTTATGTCATCTGCAGAGTGCAGATCGCTAATAAGCCTCCTCTGATTCTGATGACACATTTCCCCCCACATATCCAGCTTCTAAGATTATTTGTTCAGCATTTATATTCATAAAGGATTGAAAGTTGAAAGGATGCAAACAATATTCACACTTTTCCTGATTGTAAACCACTCAGTATTCCTTTGTTCTCGTTGAAGGATTTTTCTTTGTCCATGGGCAGGTTCCACTTGAACACAATGAACTACTCTGGAGTTGTCATTCTTTAAAATGTTACCCATAGCTTATTATGATGCACATAGTCCATGGTGTTTTCATAATCTATAAAACACAAGTAAATGTCTTTCTGTTCCTCTTTTTTTTCAAAGTCATTTTACTGGGAACTAATACAGTTATCCTATCATTCCATAGTTCAACCACATCAAGCGGTGTTGCACAATTGCAATCACAATCAGTTTCAAAACATTCTCTTCCTTCTTGAACTCCTTGATATTAGCTCCCTTTTAAGCCCCTCCCCCTCTGTACCCCCAATAACCCTTATTCTGCTTGTTGTTTCTATAGGTTCATTAACCCTGGGTTTCATATACCGAAAACCAGAAACACATAAAACAAAAATCAAGAAGGCTACTCTCAATGACAAAATATATCTGAGTAAACCCCAATATGAAAAATCCAAACAAAACACAGAAAGTGTTGAAAACCGGATCAGGCCCAATATCAGAAAGGAGACCAATCAGAAGGGAGACCAAATGACAAGTTTGTTTAACCATTCATATCAGTTTTATCATTTTGATCTCCTATTGACATCTCTCCAATACTGTTTCGTAATCAGTTTAGTTGGATCCCTCATTGTGGATAGCAGGAAATTACCAGAGGTTTATTTCCTGTGTAAAATTCATAGATGTATCTTGGGATAACATTGCCAGAATCTCACCATTTATGCTTTGATACTAGTCCCTCTTTCGGTTTCAGAGGATATGTTTTTCAATCCTTGAGTCTCTATAAGTGACCTTCTTCCATGCGGACTTAGTTGAATCTCACTCAGATGCCTGCTTGTTTGGACACAAACCTTAATGCTGCTCTAGCTGATGGGCGACACCACCTAATCTTTTCACCATATTTTGCTATAGCGTCCATATCGTCCGTGTCCGTCCTAGTCTTTGCTTTCAACCAAGAGTCACCTGACATCGGCCAGGACAGCCCTCCTACTACGTACTCTTAGGAACCCAGGTGGAATTTCTGGTGGCTTCTTGTCAGTGTATTTTTGCAACCATTTTTAATTATCTTTAACAAAATTTTACTAGAGTTAATGATATTTATTCAATCATTTCCACATTTGTTGGATGACTTTTCTTTGGGATGGGCACAAATGTGGATTTTTTGGAGAGAAAGGTAAATGGGGCATGTCTTAAAGTACAGACTATGGCTGTCATTTTTGTTGAAATTATAGGATATATGTTAGTGAAAATTGTCTTATTTCAATGTTTGGAGAATTTAGAGTTAGTCAATACCATAACAGTAGTAGCACCTCTTAATATTATCAATTCCTAAGGATTAGATCATGTAAAATATCTTTTCCAGTGTCTCAGTAATTTCCAAATTGAGTAGAATTAATTCTCCTTGGCAATAGGTATAATGCAGGTATATCTCTTTTCTCTGAGTTCAGCCTATCATACTTCATATCTATCACGTTTAATGGGGAACTACATATATACATTTAGTCAGAATTCACATCAGGTGGAATTCATGAGAATGATTCAAACCACTTGGGCCTACAGTGTTTTAGATATAAGGTTACTAGCGTCTAGATATGCATGTAGTGAGCTATCATGGTATTGGAAACATTTTCATCTTTATATCAAGTTGAATTATCACAAGATGGTGACAGTCATATATAAAACATTATGACTACTACTCTCAAATACATACATTCTAATGTCTGCAGGTCATCTTTACCATAGCCCATCTTAAAAAACAACAACAATGAAAAATCAATAATGCAAATCTTAGGCTTTAATTTTGAGGTGTTCAACATTTTTTGGTAACGTTAGCTTGAGAAAAGACAATAGGACTTACAGTTTACGACAATTTTTACTTTTTTCACATCTGGGAATGACACATCATTTTCTGCACTGCATTCGTATTCCCCAGCCTGGTCTCTTGTAATTCCATATATGTCCAAATATTGTCCATTTTCGAATGGTTTTGCTACAAGAGAAAAAGTACAGTCTGCTTAATTGCTGCTGCCTAAGGCTTCATTCAAGTAAAACAACAACCTCATGACGTGCTACTAGTTATTGCTGACAAAACAATTCCAAATGAAACTAGGGAATTACTCAATTCTTTGTTCTTCTATGTTCAGAGAGAAAGTCAGAGGAGAAAAACAAGCTGAACAAGGGATACTGTAACAACCATTTCCCTAGAACAGGATATACATGTGTTCTTTTTAATGGATTGTGGTTTCCCAACCTCATCACAGATCAGATGGAGCTCTATATATTTCTGTAATTGAGTTCAACAACCTCCTGACAGTGCAGATGAAATTCACTAATACGACGTGGTACATATTGACTTTCATACAGTTTAAGCTAGCTATTTGATACTTAACCTAACAAAATGTTACTCTTATTTTGGAGAAGTCACACACTCACACTCAAATTTCAAGACAGAAATCTTGATACAAATAGAGAGACATATTGAACCATTATAGTATTCCAGCTTTCCAAGAAAGGTACAATATGCACACTACTACATATTAGCTATCCATTTTAAAGGTAAATAAAAAGTAGTGCTATAAAATAATAGAAACCATTGTTAAAATATTAAGTTATTTTTTCTCACAGTATTCTCCGTCAAGGTCTTACATACTTCTGAAAGGGCCACTTCCATGTTTCTAACATCCTAAGAATTCTGTGCTCTCCAAACCTTCAAGGCAATGTGACCACATGGAGCAACACATGAACAGAGTGGGCTACAGGGCCGGCCCAAATCAGAGCCAA